ATATATAAACTGCACTAGTACCGGTAGACTTCAGATATATAAACTTCACTAGCATCTGTAGACTTCAGGTATATCATCTTCACTATTCCCGGTAGACGACAGGTATATCATATTCACTAGTATCGGTATACTTCAGGTATATCATCTTCACTAGCCTCTGTAGACTTCAGGTATATCATCTTAACTAGCACCTGTAGACTTCAGGTATATCATCTTCACTAGCACCGGTAGACTTCAGTTATATCATCTTAACTCGTACCTGTAGACTTCAGGTATATCATCTTCACTAGCACCGGTAGACATCAGGTATATCATCTTCTCTAGTACCCATAGACTTCAGGTATATCATCTTCACTAGTACCCATAGACTTCAGGTATATCATCTTCACTAGTACCGGTAGACTGCAGGTATATCATCTTCACTAGAACCCGTAGACATCAGGTACATCATCTTGCCTAGTACCCGTAGACATCAGGTATATCATCTTCACTATTACCCATAGACTTCAGTTATATCATCTTAACTAGCACCTGTAGACTTCAGGTATATCGTCTTCACTAGTACCGGTAGACTTCAGTTATATCATCTTAACTAGCACCTGTAGACTTCAGATATATAAACTTCACTAGCATCTGTAGACTTCAGGTATATAAACTGCCCTAGGACTGGCAGACTTGAGATATATAAACTTCACTAGCATCTGTAGACTTCAGGTATATCATCTTCGCTTGTACTGCTAGACTTTAGGTATATCATCTTCACTAGCACCGGTAGACTTCAGGTATATCATCTCCTCTAGTACCCATAGACTTCAGGTATATAATCTTCACTAGTACCTGTAGACTTCAGGTATATCATTTTCACTAGCACCTGTAGACTTCAGATATTTAAACTTCACTAGCACCTGTATACTTTAGGTATATCATATTCACTAGTACCTGTAGACTTCAGATATATCATCTTCACTAGTATCTGTAGACTTCAGATATAGCATCTTCACTAGTATCTGTAGACTTCAGATATATCACCTTCACTAGTATCTGTAGACTTCAGATATATCATCTTCACTAGTACCTGTATACTTCATGTATATCATCTTCACTAGCCTCTGTAGACTTCAGGTTTATCATCTTCACTAGTACCCATATACTTCAGGCATATCATCTTCACTAGTATCTGTAGACTTCAGATATAGCATCTTCACTAGTATCTGTAGACTTCAGATATATCACCTTCACTAGTATCTGTAGACTTCAGGTATATCATCTTCATTAGTACCGGTAGACTTCAGGTATATTCTCTTCACTAGTACCGGTTGACTTCAGGTATATCATGTTCACTATTACCGGTAGACGACAGGTATATCATATGCACTAGTACCTGTAGACTTCAGGTATATATCTTCACTAGTACCCATAGACTTCAGGTATAACATCTTCACTTGTACCTGTTGACTTCAGATATTTAAACTTCACTAGCACCTGTATACTTCAGGTATATCATATTCACTAGTACCTGTAGACTTCAGGTATATATCTTCACTAGTACCCATAGACTTCAGGAATATCATCTTCACTAGCATCTGTAGACTTCAGGTATATCATCTTCGCTTGTACTGCTAGATATCATCTTCACTAGTACCGGTAGACTTCAGGTATATCATCTTCACGTGGACCTGTTGACTTCAGATATTTAAACTTCACTAGCACCTGTATACTTTAGGTATATCATATTCACTAGTACCTGTAGACTTCAGATATATCATCTTCACTAGTATCTGTAGACTTCAGGTATATCATCTTAACTAGCACCTGTAGACTTCAGGTAGATCATCTTCACTAGTACCCATAGACTTCAGGTATATAATCTTCACTAGTACCCATAGACTTCAGATATATCATCTTCACTAGTATCTGTATACTTCAGGTATATCATCTTCACTTGTACCCATAGACTTCAGGTATATCATCTTCCCTAGAACCCGTAGACATCTGGTATATCATCTTGCCTAGTACCCGTAGAGGTATATCATCTTCACTAGTACCGGTAGACTTCAGGTATATTCTCTTCACTAGTACCGGTTGACTTCAGGTATATCATGTTCACTATTACCGGTAGACGAGAGGTATATCATATTCACTAGTACCTGTAGACTTCAGATATATCATCTTCACTAGTATCTGTAGACTTCAGGTATATCATCTTCGCTTGTACTGCTAGACTTTAGGTATATCATCTTCACTAGCACCTGTAGACTTCAGGTATATGATCTTCACTAGTATCGGTAGACTTCAGGTTTATCATCTTCACTAGTACCCATATACTTCAGGTATATAATCTTCACTAGTACCTGTAGACTTCAGGTATATTCTCTTCACTAGTACCGGTTGACTTCAGGTATATCATGTTCACTATTACCGGTAGACGACAGGTATATCATATGCACTAGTACCTGTAGACTTCAGGTATATATCTTCACTAGTACCCATAGACTTCAGGTATAACATCTTCACTTGTACCTGTTGACTTCAGATATTTAAACTTCACTAGCACCTGTATACTTCAGGTATATCATCTTCACCAGCACCGGTAGACTTCAGATATATCATCTTCACTCGTACCTGTAGACTTCAGGGATATCATCTTCACTAGTACCCATAGACTTCAGGTATATAATCTTCACTAGTACCCATAGACTTCAGATATATCATCTTCACTCGTACCTGTAGACTTCAGGGATATCATCTTCACTAGTACCCATAGACTTCAGATATATCATCTTCACTCGTACCTGTAGACTTCAGGGATATCATCTTCACTAGTACCCATAGACTTCAGGAATATCATCTTCACTAGCATCTGTAGACTTCAGGTATATCATCTTCACGTGGACCTGTTGACTTCAGATATTTAAACTTCACTAGCACCTGTATACTTCAGGTATATCATCTTCACTAGTCCTTGTAAACTTCAGGTACATCATCTTCACTAGTACCGGTAGACTGCAGGTATATCATCTTCACTTGTACCTGTTGACTTCAGATATTTAAACTTCACTAGCACCTGTATACTTTAGGTATATCATATTCACTAGTACCTGTAGACTTCAGATATATCATCTTCACTAGTACCTGTATACTTCATGTATATCATCTTCACTAGCCTCTGTAGACTTCAGGTATATGATCTTCACTAGTATCGGTAGACTTCAGGTTTATCATCTTCACTAGTACCCATATACTTCAGGTATATCATCTTCACCAGCACCGGTAGACTTCAGATATATCATCTTCACTCGTACCTGTAGACTTCAGGTAGATCATCTTCACTAGTACCCATAGACTTCAGGTATATAATCTTCACTAGTACCCATAGACTTCAGATATATCATCTTCACTCGTACCTGTAGACTTCAGGTAGATCATCTTCACTAGCACCTGTAGACTTCAGGTATATCATCTTCACTAGTACCCATATACTTCAGGTATATCATCTTCACTAGTATCTGTAGACTTCAGATATATCATCTTCACTAGTATCTGTAGACTTCAGATATATCATCTTTACTAGTATCTGTAGACTTCAGGTATATCATCTTCACTACTACCTGTAGACTTCAGGTATATCATCTTCACTTTTACCTGTAGACTTCAGGTATATCATCTTCACTTACTGTACACTTCAGGTATATCATCTTCACTAGCACATGTAGACATCGGGTATATCAACTTCACTAGCACCCATAGACTTCAGGTATCATCTTCACAAGTATCTGTATACTTTAGTTATATATCATCTTCACTAGTATCCGTAGACTGTAGGGAGATGATTATCTTTACTTGAACCAAAAGACTTTTAGTAGGTTCATCATTCTCTGGTACCTGTATGCGTAGACCTCGGATATATGATCTTCACCAGCACCTGTATCTTCACTAGTACCAGTACACATACGCTTACTATTATATATAGCTGTATACACAATTTTGTTATAGAAATGGTAGACAGAACATCAACACTAGTATCGCTACACATTCTGTTATGTATTTACTTTTTACTTTTTTTTTTGCATCTTTCGGAATACTTTTGATAAGGGTTTTCAATCTTTTCTGTGAATTTACTACCTCTTTTTGATAGGGTCCTGTGCCTTGTGACCTTTGGAAAATATCAGACACTTAAATGCTATTTGTAAAGTATTTTTTGCTTTGATATTGGGGAAATAACAGCCCCAAATTTACCTTAAAATCACTGCCTTTGTTCCATTGATGAGTCCTGAATGGACGACATGTTGTGGTGAAACTGTTTACTTTATTTGACTTTCTACATCATCTTGTTAAATGTTTTAATAGATGCGTCCTTACCTTGTATTTCTTGTGAATAATTTATTTATACGCTTTCAGTGATTTTGGAGACACAGGTATTTTATTCATGGCCTCATACTTTCATGTTGGACTCACACTTTGAGAACCCAGTATATCTCCTAGAAATTGGAATGTGGTCGGTATTAAAATGATGTGCAGGAATTGTTTGAAATAGTTCCATGAAAATCACTACACAATACAGTTACAGACAGTATATATAACCACATTCACTTGTGCACCTAAATTTTAGATGTCGTCATCATTAATACAGCTAGACTTAATATAGATCAACTTAACACATTTCGCTATATTAGATTGGTTCACTTAGACTATAGGAACAGCAGAAGATTACCTATCTTTAATAGACCCTCTAGACTTTAAATAGAAGACAATCTTCACTAGTACTCCTAGACTAGATAGGTCATATTTACTATAACCTTCACCAGAACAGCTTGTTAAAGGTATTTCATATTCACTTGTTCCCCTAGACTCTAGAAAGACAGTCATATTCACTACTATCAATATACTTCAGACAGAAAATCATCTGTGCTGATTTATGTATTTAGGTAGAAAATCTTATTCGCCACTTGAGCTAGACATTGAATAGAAAATGATCTTCACTTGAAAGCGCTAGATTTTAAATGGATCGTCTTTACTACTTCCCCTGGAATATAGATAGACCATCTTCACAACTCTCCCTCGACTTCAGGTAGGACACCGATCACCTTCACTAGCTCCTCTAGACTTTAGATGGATTGTATTCTATAGTACCAATAGACCCAATAAGAAGGTCATCTGCAGTGATACTTAAAGACTTAATATATAAAATCTTCTTCTTAATATCGCTAGACTTTAGGTAGAAGATCATCATCACTTCACTTAGATAAACTATTGTATTTACAAATCCCCTGGATTCTAGATGGATCATCTTCACCTCATCAGACTTTAATAAAGATAGAAACAAATGTTCTCGTATGACCCTAGACGTTAGGTAGAGATCATCTTTACCAACAACCCTAGATGTTTGATGATTGTATACCACTTTACTTTCAATAAAAGATCATCTTCACAAAGGCCAAATAAAAATATGTGTGTGATTTCTGTTTCGGCTAAAACAATAGGGTGGGTAGGAAGAAAAAAAAAGAAAATCTATTAAATTTCCCTAGATTTAAGAAAGAAGATCATCTTCACTAGTACCCAAGTCTTTGAATATAAGATGATATTCACTCGTGAGGCTAAATTTTCGATAAAATAAAATCATCTCCACTTATATACCCCTGAACTTACTTATATGTATATACATTGTGATCATAGGGAGAACAGATATAAAGTCATTTTCACTAGTACCCCTAGACTTACTGTCTTGTTAGTTATTATTACCACTTAACCTTATAACATAATCAGTTACATCTTCACTCATTGGTTAATAAAACCGATTAATGTCACGCCCACATACGTCATAGGTCAAACTAATTAAGGTCAATGCATTATCGGCACTTTGTAGTTGAGATGTTATTCAATTACAGACAGCTACGGAAAAAAGAGGACTGTATTATTCTGGTATCCTGCAGTCAAAGTAGACCATTGTATTTTATCATACACAAAGAAAAAACCGAATGTACTTTGAATTTTCTTCTTGATGTATGGGGCTATTCCTAATTCATTCATTACATCCTAATTGTTGCCACACTGCTCTGATTTTGATAAAGTGATAATGGGAGGAAATGAAAACAAATCATGTTTCATCCAGAAAGAAGGCCATGCTGTTGATGATGGCGACCCACATTTTTCAATTGCTGGCAATACAGCCCAGATGTGATTTTTTTTCATTCAGAGACTTTAGTTAAAGGTTATCTTTAAAATGTGGATTACTGCTCGTTTGATTGTTTAATTGACAGGGGCTGATATTAGATGTTACTGACTAGTATCAAATTGAACTATCAAGTTGAAATATTGTAGGCCTCCGGCCAAAAGTTCATGTGCACACTTTAACAGTAATATTTGATTGCACATCACAGTGTGGCTTTATAAATATTTTTTCTTAGTTACAAACGTGCCGGATCTTTATATGATATATATAATAGATATCAGATACAAGTAATTCATTTTTGTTGTTGCATAACTGTATGAGTTGGCATGTTTTAATTATACCATTCTCAAGTTGTACCGCGACAATCCTTATAGGCTATCATCATTCTCTGATTCTTGTAGACCGTATTACATAAATTGTATATTTTGGCCTTACATGTACCTTCATCACAAAGACTATTCACTTGCATTTTTTTTTTCATTAGATAATAAAATAACAATCTCATTTACCATATCATACTTTGTAACTTGACACGCTTTTTAATATCTGCTGTTTTTGAATCCACTTTTTTTTCTTTTTTTTTGTTGTTGCGGTGTTTAACTAATAATTTAACAATAGAACTGTTTTCGGACATACCACTGTGTAATCAACTGCCCACGGCTTTTTCATGCAATACAGTATTGTATAACATATATATGTTTAACAAAATAAAACAAATAACTTTCTTTTCATTCAGGGAGCACAGTGGCTAAAAACCGCCTCAGAACTGTGTAAAATCGAATGTGATGATGGAGAAAATTACGTATTTCCTGCTGGTCTCCCAGCTCAGCTAATTGAGATCAACGAGAATCTAGTCCACTCCCCCAATTTATTGACAGACAAGGTAAGCTATGGAATATTCACTTGTTATACACTGTAGCAACCGTTACTTTATATCTGAAATTTGCTCACACATAGCTTGTTTACACTGCACTAGGTCCATTGTATATCTGTAATTTCTTGCGAATATTATTCTGCGAAATTACTTAAATACTGTATAACATTTACTTAAATACTGTATAACATTAAATGTTCTTTGAAGCCATTGCGATCGTTTCCTGGTACAAACTTTCATATAAATATCTAGTATATCGACCAAATTCGTTGTATTTAGTTTTCTTCCTTGCTATTAACCACACATGTTTAACGTCGCTTAACAATGGCGTTAAGGTCATCTATTAGTGACGTGTACATGTACATCGCACAAATCATTTATATTATACTAAAATCACGTCAAACTCCGACACTTTAAAATAACAACGAAACAGAAGAGAGGAAAGCGGCGATATTGACGTGTATCACACGCTAGATGTGGCGGAATACATTCTCGTGTTACTTACGAAAATGCGATCTCCTTTATCGCAAACAAAACTCAATATTATTTGAAGCATCGGTGGTTTTACAAAGACTTTTTGCCAACCCCTTAAACTCTCCTATCAGGGCTAAGAAATGATGTCATTGACACGCAGTCTTACAATAGCATTCAGTCAGCGTACCCGTAGTATCTCTATACAAAGTTATGTTTCCGGAGGACTACAGGAACTTTGTGAAATAGTAGCCTATTAATCATGTTCCGTTACATTGTAAACAATGGGACTAAGCTTGTGGTCTGGTTATTATTATATCACGCTTATGGCGTTTGATACAGCCATTCCAGAATGATCGTTTGCAACATTCCTTTGAAGTTCGCGATGCTACTATGTTTGTGTACGTGACAAAAGTCATTCCCCCTCAGGTACAGCAGTTGACCTGACCCAATGTGTATACATTGTGTAGTTTGGACAAAATGTACTACGTATTTTAGGGTTGAGGATAGTTTCACTATTTTCTTTGATCATTGACACAGTCGGTCCTGCCGACTAATCGGTTCGATTATGCATAAAAAGCACTACGTACAACGTTTTACAATTTCATCGACAATCTGTCCCTCTGTCATGACGACCGATAAGCGAAGTTCATCCATTACGTAATCGGCTGATTCTAAATGAGCATTTCTTTTTAGAAGGAAAATTCTGAATTAATTTACACTTTTAATTTGGAAATGTCTTTTTTTCGTTAAAACTATAATTAGGATCATATTTGAAAGCTTGTTTCGAGTTGCTTTCATGTAAAAAAAAATAAGGTAAGAGTATTCACCCTAAAACTAGTTTTAGTACCGATGATTGGTTATAAGAAATCACAATCAATTATAGAGCCAATTACATGTAAGACTACACATTCGGTAATTAATTAAACAGTTGAAGCCGAATAACGGCCCATCACTTATTAGATGTATATCAATGTTTAATACCATATGCTATATCAGATACCATTGCAGATTGAAATCCTGTAAGTATCCATCCCTTTGAATGGCATTTAATAGTACAGTCAGTACACACAACCGATCAAGATCGAAACAGAAGAACGCCCTAACTTAAAAATTCCATGTCAAAGATGCGATAAAACCAGTTACTTTTCCCTAAATCGAATCAAACGTGGGAAAATGAGCTGATTTATCCTACTCTCTTCTCATGATGGATGTGATTCCAAACCAATTATTGTCAGAGCTCGGTAGCTTCGTCGGATGTCCGCGTGCCGTGATTAAGAATGACCGTAATGCATGTTAATGTTCGGGGTGTAGAAAAAATGTCTTTAGAGGTGTCAGGAAAATTGTGGCGAGAGTGATACTCTTGTTACCTAACTAAGACATTAATGTGTTCCAACATAGAAATAGAATTTGTGAATTCAGAGAATGATCGGTTTCCATGTTCATTTCGAAAGTGTTTATATAAAAAAGCTTCGTTTTTTTCTTTACGAGTGACCAAAATAAATAAACAAATAAAACCTATTTGCATGCTCAGTGTTAAATGTCTATAGCGATATAAATGCGAGCTATTACTAACGCTGTGCTGATAATTTACTCATTGACACTAAGTTGTTTCATACTCGTATCAGCTGTTGGTTTTGACGTTGATGAAGACTAGACCTGAAGCCTAGCGAGTTTAGCGCTGTTCTCTCGCTTCCTTGACGTGAAGGGTGTTTACTGTTGACTTTGGCGATGCTAGTTCTGCATTCCTTGGATTTCAAACATTCGTGCCGTGTCACCGTGCTTCTTGTTCTCTCGTTACGCAAAACCATAAATGTTATAGTTCGTTTATACTGTAGGAATACGGATGCTTTTGAAGTGTGAACTCGAAATCGAGAAAAAAGCACATGAAACGAATCACTTAACAAGGCGTTTATGATGTAAGAATGTGTGCTTTGTATTCAATTTTCGAAAGTAATTAGCATTCAAAAGTCTGTTTCAACTGAGAAGAATAGACTTTGGCTCGGTTTCATAAACATATTGTTCTTTATCGAAACTTATTTCTTCGTACGGTCCATATTTTTAGCTCACCTGGCACGAAGTGCCGAGTGAGCTTATGCCGTGGTGCGGCGTCCGTCGTGCGTCCGTCCGTCGTCCGGTGTCAATATTTTACTTTAAACGACTTCTTCTTAATAACCGAAAGGTTTAGGGTGTCGATATTTGGTCAGAAGCAAACTGGGATAAAGGGCTACAAAGTTTGTTAAAATTAATTACCTTCACCCATTTTCAAGGTCACAGGGGTCAAATATGTTAAAAACTTTAAACATCTTCTTCTCAATAACCAAACTGCCCAGGGATATGATATTTGGCCAGTAGCATGCTTCGGTGAAGGGCTACCAAGTTTGTTCAAATGATGACTTTCAATTATATTCAAGGTCACAGGGGTCAATTGTCTTAAAAAAAACTTCAAACAACTTCTTCTCAATAACCAAATGCCCAGGGTGATGATATTTCGCCAGTAGCTTGCTGATATGAAGGGCTACAAAGTTTGTTAAAATTAATTACCTTCACCCATTTTCAAGGTCACAGGGGTGAAATATGTTAGAAACTTTAAACAACTTCTTCTTAATAACCAAAATGCCCAGGGCGATGATATTTCGCCAGTAGCTTGCTGAGTTGAAGGGCTACAAAGTTTGTTCAAATGAATGACCTTCACCCATATTCAAGGTCACATGGGTCAAATATGATAAAAAAATTAAACATCTTCTTCTCAATAACCAAACTGTCCAGGGATATGATATTTGGCCAGTAGCATGCTTGGTTGAAGGGCTACCAAGTTTGTTCAAATGAATGACCTTCAATTATATTCAAGGTCACAGGGGTCAATTGTCTTAAAAAACCTTTTAACAATTTCTTCTGAATAACCAAAATGTCCAGGGTCATGATATTTGGCCATTAGCATGCTGAGACAAAGGGCTACAAAGTTTGTTCAAATGAATGACCGTCACTCATATTCAAGGTCACAGGGGTCAAATATGTTAAAAACTTTAAACATCTTCTTCTCAATAACCAAACTGCCCAGGGATATGATATTTGGCCAGTAGCATGCTTGGGTGAAGGGCTACCAAGTTTGTTCAAATGAATGACCTTCAATTATATTCAAGGTCACAGGGGTCAATTGTCTTAAAAAACCTTTAAACAACTTCTTCTGAATAACCAAAATGCCCAGGGTCATGATATTTGGCCATTAGCATGCTGAGATAAAGGGCTACAAATTTTGTTCAAATGAATGACTGTCACTCATATTCAAGGTCACAGGGGTCAAATATGTTAAAAACTTGAAACAACTTCTTCTCAATAACCAAAATACCCAGGGTGATGATATTTCGCCAGTAGCATGCTGAGATGAAGGGCTACAAAGATTGTTCAAATGAATGACCTTCACTTATATTCAAGGTCACAGGTGTCAAATATGTTAAAAACTTGAAACAACTTCTTCTCAATAACCAAAATGCCCAGGTTGATGATATTAGGCCAGTAGCATGCTGGGGTAAACGGCTATCATGTTTGTTCAAATGAATGACCTTCACTTATATTCAAGGTCACAGGGGTCAAATATGTGAAAAACATTAAACAACTTCTTCTGAATAACAAAAATGCACAGGGTTATGATATTTTGCCAGTAGCATACTGAGATGTAGGGCTACAAAGTTTGTTCAAATGAATGACCTTCACCCATATTCAAGGTCACAGGGGTCAAATATGTTAAAAACATTAAACAACTTCTTCTGATTAACCAAAATGCCCAGGGTGATGGTATTTAGTCAGTAGCATACTAGGATCAAGGGCTACCAAGTTTGTTTAAATGTATGACCTTGAATCATATTCAAGGTCACAAGGAGCAAATATGTTCAAAATATTTAAACAACTTGTTCTGAATAACCAAAAGGCTCATGATGTTGATATTTAGTCAGTAGCATGCTGGGATCAAGGACTACTATGTTTGTTAAAGTGAATGACTTTGACTTATATTCAAGGTCACAGGGGTCAAATTTGTTTAAAATCTTTAAACGACCTCTTCTGAATAACCATGGGTCCCAGGATGTTGATACTTTGCAAGTCGCCTTTTTACCGCGTCATATTCCAGGACAATGTCGAACCCAAATATTTCAACAGCTTTGATATTCTGACATTTATTGATTTTATATTGTGTGTTTTCCGTATCCTGCAAAATATTTTTACACTAGTGTGACACATCCTTTAGTTATTTATCACTGTAGCGAAGAACAATATTTCTATTTTATGAAGAAGTCCCGTTATCTTTTTGATAAAATGTATTAATATAATATAATTAAAGTATCCATCGCAATGTTTGACACACAAAAATGCTTCAACAGTATCTACTCGGCAATCGTCGGTAACAAACCGAAACTGCTTTAAAATAGTCCACAAAACACATTTACACGAAAAAACACGACAATTACTCATTTTTGGTAGACAGTTTAAAAACCGCAAGGAAAATCCTTACAATGGTAATTGTTATTCTCTACTTAACGTTC